GGGATCGATCCCAGCAGCGGGATCGATGGATCCTAGCAGTGGGATCGACCCCACTGCGGTGATTGGTCCCACTGCTGGGTGCTGGGATCGATCCCGATCGCTGCTGGGATCCATCCGGATCGATCCCAGCAGCGGGATCGATCGATCCCAGCAGCGGGATCGATGGATGCTAGCAGTGGGATCGATCCCCGCGGGGGGATCGATCCCCGCGGGGGGATCGATCCCAGCGATGTTCTGCATAAACAACAACTGCAGGGGTCGATCCCCGCGGTGGGATCGATCCCCGCAGTGGGATCGATGCCCAGCAGTAGGATCGATCCCCGCGGGGGGATCGATCCCCCAAGGGGGATCGATGGATGCTAGCAGTGTGTCGCAGTTAGCGACATTGTGCGTAGACAAGGATTGCTGGGATCGATCGGGGATCGATCGATCCCAGCACAGTCTCTGTGTCTCTCTTTGTTTTTATTTTTTTTTTTTGTTTGTTTTCTTTCTCTTGAGTTGATAGTTAGTAGCGTTATGCATACAAAACAACAGCTGGGATCGATCGATCCCAGTGCATTGTCTCCTTTCTCTGTCTCCTCTGTCTCCTCTGTCTCCTCTGTCTCTTCTGTCTCTTCTGTCTCCTTTTATTAGCGTTGTTCTTCATATACAACAACAGCTGGGATCGATCCCAGAGCCCTGTCTCTTCTGTCTCCTCTCTCTTCTGTCTCCTCTCTCTTCTGTCTCCTCTTTCTCGTCTCTCTCTTCTCTCCTCTGTCTCTTCTCTGTCTCCTCTCTGTCTCCTCCCTCACTCTTCTGTATAAACAACAGTAGCTGGGATCGATCCCAGGGCCTTGTCTCCTCTGTCTCCTCTGTCTCCTCTCTGTCTCCTTTCTCTTTTCTTTTTTTCTGTTTTTTCTTTTACTCTTCTGTATAAACAACAGTAGCTGGGATCGATCCCAGTGCCTTATCTCCTCATCTGTCTCCTCTGTCTCTTCTCTGTCTCTTCTCTGTCTCCTTTCTGTCTCCTCTCTGTCTCCTCCTTTACTCTTCTGTATAAACAACAGTAGCTGGGATCGATCCCAGTGCCTTATCTCCTCCGTCTCCTCTGTCTCCTTTCTGTCTCCTTTCTGTCTCCTTTCTGTCTCCTTTCTGTCTCCTTTCTGTCTCCTTTCTGTCTCCTTTCTGTCTCCTCTCTGTCTCCTTTCTGTCTCCTTCCTGTCTCCTTTCTGTCTCCTTTCTGTCTCCTTTCTGTCTCCTCCCTTACTCTTCTGTATAAACAACAGTAGCTGGTATCGATCCCAGTGCCTTATCTCTACCCCACTCTTTCCAGCATCCAACAGCACCAGCAGCAACAAAACGACCAAGAAGAGAACCACCATAAACAACAAAAGGAAGAATAATTATTTTTGTTTTTATATCGTAGTGACGAAGAGAGAAATGCACACATAAAGGAGACAGGAGACCCCCCAGCCACACGCCGTTCTGGGCTACAACCTGAAATACATTCATACATAATAAATAAATAAATAAAATAAATAAATAAAATAAATAAAATAAAATAAATAAATAAATAAAATGATTTAGTGTGTAGATACAGAGATTAGTTGATTAATTAATTAATTAATTAATTAATGCACAAATAAAAATGTTAATCTATAAATAAATAAATTGGTAAATAAATAGATAAACAAATAAATAAATAAATAAATAAATATGTAAATTTATAAATAAATGCGGATGGAGATATAGAAGGTGACAGATAAAGGGACAGACAAGGAGACAGACAAGGAGACATACAGGGAGACGGAAAAGGAGACAGGTAAATAGATGGAAAAGAAGACAGAAAGGAGACAAAAAGGAGACAAAAAGGAGACAGAGAAAGGAGACCGAAAGGAGACAAAAAGGGGACAGAAACAGGAGACAAAAATGAGACAAAAAGGAGGCAGAAAAAGGAGACCGAAAGGAGACAAAAAGGAGACAGAAAGGAGACAGAAGAGAGAGAGAAGAGAGAAGGGAGACAGAAGAGAGAGACAGAAAGGAGACAGAAAAAGGAGACAAAAGGGGGACAAAAGGGGGACAAAAAGGAGACAGAAAGGAGACAAAAAGGAGAAAGAAGAAATGAGACAGAAGAGACAGAAAAAGGAGACAAAAAGGAGACAGAAAGGAGACAGAAAGGAGACAAAAAGGAGACAGAATAAATACCCTTTTGCGTATATGTTCTTGTCTCCTTCTGCATATATCTGTTGCAGCATCGGGGGTGGTGGGGTTGTACTGTCTCGATAAAATTTTTTTTATATTTTTTTTATCGAGTTTAGCGTAGTTGTTCACATGAAAGACAGGGGGCATAAACCACAACCCCACACGCTCCAAAAGACACAGACCCCGCACCCCTGTCTGCTGCTGCTCCTCCAGTAGAGTTATATCCGAGGGGACCTAAAAAAAAAAAAAAAAAAAAAAAAAAAAAAAAAAAAAANCCTCTTGTTTACTTAGTTTTGGTGGGTTATTTGTGTTGTATGTTTTTTATTTTTTATTTATTTTTTTTTTGTTTTACTTGTTTTTATTTAGGAAGAGGGTAATGCACGTAGAGAAATATACTAAAGGGAAGCAAATACAACACCTACGAAGGAATACATGATAGATACTGCTGCTGCTGCTGCTGTTGCTGCTGCTGCTGTTGCTGTTGCTGCTGCTGCTGATACTGTGGCTCTCTTGCTGCTGCTGCTGCAGTTGCTAGTATTGTTGTTGCTGCTGCTGTTGGTGTTGTTTGGCGTAACAACAACAGTGCATGTTGCAGCGCCTCTACCCTTGTGTTTATAAAACTATATTTCTATGTTTTCTTCTGTCTATTAAACCCTCATAAACACTTGTGCTGGCGCTGAGTGCTCTAAACCCTAAACCCTAAACCCTAAACCCTAGACCTTGGGTATAAAACCCTCACCACAAGCTTCCCCATGATGGTGTTATAGTGCAGCGAGAAATGCAGCAAAAAAGGATGCAGAAGTCCAGCCGTTAATTGAGGTGTACATACACCTCAGCTGCATAGCCAGGATCACCAGCAGAGGAGGTGATGAGGGGGGAAATGAAAGAATTGTATGGATAAAAGAATAAAAAATATTTAAATTTTTGTATTTATGAAATTTATTAAACAAAAAACCTCACCATACACCCCAACTCTTTACGTAGGCTGCTTACTACGACACCAGCAGCGGCGGCTCGAGAGCCCCCCCAATGCATGCAGCTGGTTGTTATATATAAAAAAAATAAAATAAATATTTAATTTCATTTATTTTTAGTATTTAATTTTTATATTTATTTCTCTTTTCTTAGAATTGAAGCCGATGCAACACCACCCTACGATGCATACACCGCTGGGGTGTATGCGCAGCTCCTCCTCCCGCCAGTGAAACAAACGCAGCAGGCGTCCTGTCTATTATTTCTTTTTATTTTTTTTGTTCAAATTAATAAATAAATTATTTATTTTTATTCAAATTAACTACAAAATAAAATTTATTTTTATTTTGCCTCCTTTCGTCCGCCCCCCTTGGCTGCAACGCGGTGTACATACACCTCACGAGGTGTACATACACCTCAACTCCTCTACGCAGCAGCAGCAGCAACAACCCCTTTAGGTGTTTTCTTATATATTCCGTTCCCTCCTGTCTTTTCGTTTATATTCCTTATCTGTAACCTCTATGCAACCAGCTCAACTGAACAAACCTATATGCTTGTACATATGTCTATGCTTCTACATAGACTATATATATATATATATATATATA